CCGGAATTTCATGAAAATCAAAATATCGTTATGCGTGATAGATCCAAGGAGAAGGATCGTCACCTGAATACGTGGAAAATACCAGTTTGGGGCTGCGGAGGTTGAAAGTGCTGCTCGGCTGAAGAGCACCCCTGCTTGATCCCTCCTGGTCTGCCTCCTTATTCGGCCGGGATGACATTCACTCGAGCTGAGATACTACCGCAGAGAGGGCGTCCTTCATGCTTCTCAGTTCACCCTCCATCCGGCCAATCCTGTCTTCTTGTGACTGGTTGCGAGTTGTGGGCATGGCGGATTGGGGGCTCTGATACCAGTTGATGGATTCTCAGTGATGAAGCTTCTTCGAGGGAGCTCCTTCCTCCAAAAACAGAGTTACGAGAGAGAGAGAGAGAGAGAGAGAGAGAGAGAGAGAGAGAAGACGAAGAAGAAGAGAAACGAAATTGGTTATGCTTTTTCTGCTCATTCAGTTCTACCTGTAGGCCTTATATAGGCTTTCCCCTAATCAGCTCATCATGACCACACGTTTATGCAGGTGGGTGGTTAAGACGTGGGCTGCGGTTGTAAACGAATCGCAGGGGGGGCTTGCAATGCTTTGCATGTGCCGCTCCTGCTGCTGCATGTGCCTCACGACCTGCATGGGCCTGGGCCTGGTGACCCGATGGCGGATTACCTACCTGGGTTCTATCAGATTCTATGTATTTTCTCTCTTCTTTCTCTCCCTATTTTCTCTCTTATTCCTTTCAGAATCCATTACAGCCATTGACAGCCATAAAAATCTGATCAAGAAGACCATTCAACATTCTCTAAGGACTAGAACTGAGCTGGTACATCAAAGAAACTGTTGAAAGAATTTTCATCAGGGTCATACATTAGTTGAAATCAATTGACTTGTTTAAGGATTTCTTAGCTGAGGACATTTACAGAAACTGGAGAGAGATTGCAGCTACATCTTTCTTTAGGCCTAAAGTGCAGGAACTATGGTCCCCACCAACACAACACAATACAAAACTAAACTTTGATGGGAGCTCTAGAGGCAACCCAGGGCTGTCAGGAATTGGGCGAGTATTCAGAGATGGAGATGGTAAAATTGTTGCTATGTATTCAGGGCCTATAGGAGTAGGTGACTCTTTGAGGGTGGAGGTAATGGCTTTACTTCAAAGTGTGAGATTTGCCAAACAGATGGGGCTAAACCAAATAGAGATTGAAGGAGACTCTAAAATGCTCATTGATTGGTTGAAATCGGGAAGTTTGGGAGCTTGGATTTATAGACATGCCATAAGGGAGATCACCAACATAACAAAGGAGACTGGGGCCTCTTTCAAGTGGACTAGAAGTTCAGCTAATGGACTGGCTGATACCTTTGCTAAACAGGGGACAATGAAGGAGAATCTAGTCTGGGCATAATTGTAATAAGGATTTTTGGGGCTTAGCACCCTTTTCAGGGGCTGACAGTTGTGCACGATATCTCTTAATTTGCTTAATGAAGTTACTGTTTCCAATAAAAAAAGCATCCACAAAGCAATTGAGTTCCTCAGTGATGAGCCAACACCTAATCTCAGGCTAGGATACAAAAAAAACACAATTCTGCAGGGTAAAACACAAACCTTAGAGATCACAAAGCTTGTGGTAAGCCAAACCCAGCTCCAGATCCTCCAATCCCACCAAAACAAACACCGGAAAAGACAGGAAAATGCACCTACTAATGTCCATCTTGACCTCACTGCAGCAGTGGTGAAGAAATAATCAAATGAAAAAACACCATGAGATCCTGTTATCCCACACTGAGAAATACCACATTATAGTCAAGATAAATCTGATCCCCTCCCCTACCAACCTAGTCCTCACCTTGTCTTACTCTCCTATACTTTCCATCCCCCAACTGCTACTCTTATACTCCCATTCTTGACAATCATGGGTTGTAATTTTCCTGAAATTTGCCATAATTTGCCACTTTAAGGGGTCTTCAAATATCAGTTGAAGGAGTTTGCAGAATTTCATAATTTTGACAAGTATTGACAATATTTTGGTTGAAATACCTCATAATAACGTTTAGGGAAATTTCACGTGAAGTTGGAAACTTTACGTTATAAAGTTACCTAATATCAATTGAAAGAGAGAATGCATGATTTAAGCCATTCATTTTGCCTTCAAGAACAGAAAAACCTCCAAGCATCCAAATTTCATTTTTTTTTGTGGTTTTCTTTGGATAATTGGCAAACTTAGGAGCAAAAGAATGGATCTACTTGTTTGAAATTTCTATATTTGTGAATATTTATTTGAAGTGAATACCCTATAAACTATAAAATATATGTGCATTGTCGCAATGACAATTGCAATTCAAAGGAAAAAAGGAAAGATAAAATTACGGTGATGGCAAAGCATGGTGACAATGATTACTCAGGAAGTGATGGCTGCTAGTAACGTTATTCTCTCTTGCCATGTGGCAAGTAGGAAGACTCCCTATTTCTCTGTCAGTCTCTTTTGATTGCTTGGGTTGAAGTGGTTAGTCCTTTTAGGTTAACCAGTTCAATGAGTTAAATATGTGATTGTATGCTTATTCTGTTAGAGTTTATGATTAGTTTGGCGTGTGTGGATATGAGCATTTTGGAGTTTGGACATTTTTCATCTTTAAATAAGGGTTCTCTTGTTTGACCCCTTTTGTAACTTAAGTAGGGGTGGATTTGTAATTCTCTCTATTTTATACTCTACATATCACATGCCTCTAGGTGGGGACTCAATCAAGGATTTAAAAGGTGTGCCTAGGCACACAAGCAGGGTACATTTCAAGGTCTGTGCCTTGCCTAGGCCAAGATACAGCCCCTTTGAGAAGGCACGTGCCTAATACGCCTAGATGTGTGCTTGGTGCACCTTGTGCCTCAGCTCAAGCGTGTGCCTTGGTTAAATTTTGCGCTTTTTGAAGCATAGTGACTGGGTCAGGGGCTCCATCCTCAGACCTTGACCAAGCCCTTTGAGGCAAGCCCAAACAAGTCCATATTAGGGTCTTAAATTCTTAATCCATACAACCTCCTTTTGCTAATGTTGTTCATTCGTTCTTTTTAATACAAGACATTTCTTAAAAGACAGAACCATAATTAAAATTATAAAGCCATTTTTTTTGTACAGATTAAGAATTTAAGACCCTAACATGGACTTGTTTGGGCTTGCCTTAAGGGGCTTGGCACAAATGTGGCTTGTAGAATCAAGAATGAAAGATCCTTAACATTATATTAGCTATTTGAAATAATGTGATTGGGAAAGAAATAAAGAGATTGAAAGTAGTATGACATGTTTGGATTGTTGAGTGCTTTAATATGTTTTATATGGTATGCTTATGTATTACAGATAGGTACCCCATATCCTGTACTTTTGAGGTAGTGACACTTAAGGGTTTGAAGTTTCAAGTGCGACATTTTAGTATCTTGAACTTTCAAAAAGATACACTTAAGTCTAACTCCGTTAAGCCGGTTTTACAGTTAGGGTGAAAATTACTAAATTGCCCATGTTCAGATTCTCCTTTTTTATTTTTCCTCTCTTGCAACCTTCAAATGCAATCTAGTGGCGGCACAAAGAAAAGGTCAATTCACAGAATAACAAAGCAGATAAAGTTTGCACCTAAATAAAAGCATCCAGAAACAAGCAAGAACATTTGAGTTCTCTAGTGAAGCCTCCAGATGACGAGGATGGATGAATATTGAGCAATGCTTTCATGTAGGTTTCTGTACCCATACAAATGCACCGCCCACCAAAATTTTTGCTGCCATTGTTTCCGTCAAAAGGTAGAAGAAGATGAAAAAGAGAATCTGAACATGGGCATTTTCATAATTTTATCCTTATCTTAATGTCAGTTTTAACGGAGTTGAAATTAAGTGTACATTTCTTAAAGTTTAACGTACTAAACTGTTGCAATTAAAAGTTTAGGCCCTAAGTGTCTCTTTCCCCCAAAGTACAGGGTACCTATTTGAAATTTACCCTTTTAATTTGAACTAATAAGCTTTTAAAAACATTTAATTTAAAATTAAAGTTTGCATTATTTATCAAAAAATTAAAGTTTGCATTTTTTAATTAATGCTATTTTTAATACTTGGTTTATTTTGAATTTTTACATGCTTTGCATTGTTATTTTTTTTTTTAAATTTGTGCTTTGCTTCAAAAAGGCGTGTGTGCACCTCAGGTGCAAAAATCCCTTTGCGTTTTTTTTTTGCACCTTGCGCTTTTGAAACACTGGACTCAATTACAGTCTTCACCAAACAGGATAAGAGTTCAAGGCTTTTTTCTGCCTATGTTCTCTTTTGGTCTCTCTTCTCTCTATTTTTTGTTTTCTGTTTAAGTCTGAACCATTATTATATCATCCAAATTCGAGAATCCCTTTAAATCAAGATGAAACTGTATATGATCTGGTTCTGATTGTCCAGTCTACTGACTCTACTCAACTGTTCTAGACTTTAAAACGTTTGCAAAATATTCTTTTAACATTCTAATAAAATTCTGATTGTTTGTCGAAGGCTCTTCCTTGGCTTCTAACCATGTTTCTAGTTGTCTCTGAGACTAGCCAGAGCGTAGAGGGTCACAAGCATTTATACACAAAACTCCTTTAACTTTAGCTTAGGGCTGTTTTTATGCACAATAACTGTGGTATTGTAAAGTTCTTGAGGTACTTGTTCTTTATTTCTTTGTAAGCTTTGACATGTAATCAAGATTATTTATCAAATAAAAAGGGTTCCCTGCTTTCAAGAACTGCTTGTCTATCTTGATTACCATTTGGGAACAAGTGCTGCATTCATTTGGATCCTAGGCATGTTAATAGAATGCTATTTTTGTGATTTCAACCCAAGGCCTTCAGTTTTATTATACAACTGTTTCTTCTTATTTGCATAAAAGAACTGATGGCACATAAACATGACAATGCTTCTCAAATTTCATTTTGTTGGTGCATTGGATTTACATAAGTTTAGAAAATAGCTTCTCAGCTATTAACCATTTCATATGCTTTTAAGTGCAAACAGGTTCCTGCCAATAAAAAAGTTGAGCCTCCCAAACCAGCTCTTACTCCAGAGGAAATGAAGACGAAAGCACAAGAATTAAGGTAGTATTCTGACAGTCTTTATGCCTTCTCTGGTGTTTCATTTTATTACCACTTAGCCACCCTGGGTTGGCATTATTTGCAATTCTTGGTAAACAAAATATCATGGAGGTCCAATACAGGGAGGTTGAATTTATTTATTTATTTTCACCATATTACTTTATTGTCTAGAAAGCACTCTCCTTCCACTGATATATTCTGGTAGTATTAATCTCTTTTTTTCCCTTTCTGAATCTCCCTTAGTCCCTTGGAAAACTACTCTGGAACACTTCTATTCCTAGAAAATCTTGTTCCTTATGTTAGCAGAAATTCACAATGAATCACTTGTTTAGCCAGGGTGGTGACTTTGAATATTTGTTTCTTATGTATCGACTCATTCGTTTTCCCTTCTCAAAGAGAGTATGACAGCACATGTATTCCCATCATGATTTAATTGATAAGTCCTGGAAACCTTTTTGATCTGTTCCATGTTGGATCTCTGAAAATCTTAGCCCAATAAAGTGGCATCTTGTTGCTGCATCTCTCCTTTTTCTGTTTGTGAATGCTTTTGGAATGGGAAACAATTTTCCTTGGAGATCTCAGCCATTAAAAGTTAGAGGCCTTATGTTTTTTGTGCCTTGTCTTTGTTTGTTCAATGCCCTACATTTGAAATTTCAGGAAAAGAGTTGGCGGTTCTAGAGGGTTTTATGTAGAACTTTTGCTTTTGTTTTATGCACCATCTCATGAATGTTTATACTTTGTGTTTCTTGTACAGGTTGTTCTTTTTGTCTACAGGGGAAAGCTGCATGCTTTGCCTTTTCTCCTCTTTCTCTATTAGTGAAATTCATTTGAAATTTATTCCAGATTCAATTTTTATTTCAGTGCATCATGTGTAGTTATTCTTAGATTCTTTCTCCTTGTTCTTGACCTTTTTGTTTTTGTTGGTTCACTTTATCTACTTTCACCATTGCCTTTATGTTTGGTTCATGAAACTTGTACATTGCTATTGATTAAAAAAAAAGATAGTTGTATATTGCTTATACCACTAGTTTAATTTTATTTCATACTTCCTTGATGTTATTGTTGTTATTCTTATATATGATTTTTCATACATTCAGAGAACGTGCTCGGAAGAAGAAAGAAGAGGAAGAAAAGAGAATGGAAAGAGAAAGAGAGAAGGTAATGCCGAATGTACTTGTTTTCAGTCTTCTGTTATACCTCTACCAATTCCTGTTATACCTCTCCTAGATTTTCTGTCATTCATCAAGGGTGTTAAAGTGAGCCGAATAGGGGTAGTTTAGTCATCTCATGTTTGTTAAGTACCTTGCTTATGTGGCAGTTTTATTAGAGATACTCTGCCCCACACTTAAGTAAGGGCAATTTAGTCTTTGTAAATGTTATTAGAACCTAATATACATTAGGGGGTCAAATGAATAGTGAATTAATCAGTTTTGACTAAACCCTCCTGTTCTCTCTTTCTCTTTTCTTCTTCTTCATCTTCTTCTTCCTTCTCTCCTGGTTCGGGTTACTGTAGCTGCATTCGAAACATGGTATCAGAGCGAGGTTCCTGATCTGCTTCAGTTTGTAAAGCATCTCAGCTGTGTTCGTGACACCTTCTTC